ACTTCCATGCAGGTCTGGCATCTTTGAAAGAAGAGGGAGAAAAAAGGAAAATCCGGTAGGAAGAGTCTGAGCTTGCAGTGCAGTTTTAAGGACGTTTCTGCTAATAGAGAATCCACTGGCCGAGTCCCACATCCCTTAGAAATGAGTTTCCACTAATACCTGCCACCACAGTCACTGGCTGGGAGCATCCTGTGGGGAGTGTGGCTTGGGTTCCGTTGTGGCTTCCCACAGTGAGAGATTTTCATAGCAGCACAATAATTCAAGAGTATAACATTTTATATTTTAAAAAAATGGAAATACGTATATTTAAATTCAATCATATAAGAGAAAAGCATAAGATTTATATGTTCATTGTAAAGAGTTAATAAAAAGTTTGAGAACCACTGTTAATTAGTAAATTAAAATGCAAACTCCAGTATCCCCCTACCCCCTTAGCAAGCTAAGCCATACTGCCACTGGTATTAGGGAGCCTTAACTTCTTTGGCAAATAATAATATTTTCTATTAAAAATGTATTCTATTTCTAATCACATTTAAAGAAACAAAATATGTTAATTCTGCTGAAAAACTGTGTATCCTTTGGTAGATTGTATAACCTTTCTGGCCTTCAGTTTCTTTATCTGCCAAATGAGAGAATTCATGTAGAGGATTTCCAAATCCCTTTCCAACTCTAATGTTGGAGAAGTTCATAGTCATTCCCACCTTATAGGTATTTTATAAGACCGTCAAAGTGGACTGCATCGTGGGTCAGAGAACATGGAGGCAGTCATGGCTCTGAAACAAATTAGCTGCCTCAGTTCAAATGTAGGACATAACCTTCCTGTACTCAGTTTCTTGTAAAATAAAGAAATTTGATTAAACCAGCTCTAAGGTCCATTTGTGACTCATTGGTAGGGCATTTCTGATGTCACCCTGTCTATAGACCCTTCAGAAGAACTCTGCTTCTCAATCCTTGAAGATAACTGTCAATAAAAATGTATGGAAATGATGATGGGGATCAATTACATAAGCTAAAGTTAATGTTTTTTCTTTTATTGTGGTAAGAACATTTCACACGAGACCTCCTCTCTTTAAGTGTACGATGTGTTTGTTAACCGTAGGCACAGTGCACATCCCTAGGACTGAATCATCTTGCATCATCACTGAAACTTTGTACTCATTGAAAAGCAACTTCCCATTTTCTTTTCTCCCAGTCTCTGGCAACCCCTGTTCTTACTCTTTGCTTCCATATGAGTTTGACTATTTAGATACCTCCGATGAGTGGAATCATGCAGTATTCACCCTCTGTCTGGCTTATTTCACATAGCAGAATGTCCTCAAAGTTCCTCCTTGTTGTCACATATGACGGGAAGTTTCCTTCTTTCTTTGAGGCTGAAGAGTATTCCATCCTATTTACATACCACATCTCTTTATCCACGTATCCATCAGTGGACATTTGTTAATGTTTGGCTTTTTTATTGGCTGAAATTGTAATTTTAGCTATTCAACCAAGACTGAATATGCAAACTAGTTTTAACTCTTTATTACTGCCTTTAGAGGAAAAGCAAACAAATGCATAAAATCATCAGGAAAACAAAATCGGATGATAATATTTATGGATGTTTAAACCAGTATGCCTGTTTTGAATTTGTCAAACCTGTTAGAATTAAAACATAGTATAAAGGTGAACAGCTACTCTTCCCCCGTAGCAAGTGTTCCTGGTTTCCATGGTGTTTAGACAGTCTCCTTACTTCACACCACAGTGAAAAAATATCCAAGGTTGTGATATAATTTAGAGATTAATTTAACTCCTTTATTCTGGTATTGACTAACAGGTAATTAACTTCTTTATTCTGGTATCGATTAAATGGTAATCATGACTTACATCTTCCTGGTTACTCTTTATCTGAAAAGTTCTGTGAATGGGGGGGGGGGAATCCCAGAGGGAGAGTGGACGTTAATAATTCCCTTTTTCCCCCAAGTGGAGACCTTAAATTCCAAAGAAGAGGCGGAAAGCTTTTTACTGAGTATTCCAAGTTAGAAGCAGATCAATTAAAAGCATCTTACTTTTCCATTCTGATTAAAATCTCAAAGACAAAATCCCTTGAAAAAAATAACATTGCCTTTTTTTTTTTCTCACTAATAAGTCGAAATGTGGAATCCACCAGAGAAAGTAGCCAGAGTATTTACCCAAGTCCTAATACTGTGTGGGTGCAACGGGCTGCTGGAAGCATTTCCAGGGGACCCAGGGGCTTGCCCTGGTCTGAATTATGTACAAGTCTAGCTGGTAGTTCTGGGAAAGTATGAGGGGTCAAGCCCAATTACAGTCAACACACAGGTATGTACTGAATCCGTGCTAGCTAAATGGGTAAAATGAAAAGTGTATGAAGCTCTTTGCTCGTCTCCATATGGATGAGAGGGACCACTGCTGCTAATAGCAGCCATTTGATATATATTTTTTAAACCTGGAAGTATCAGATTAAAGGTCAGAATTTGAATTATGAAAAATTTATCATGGACTGAAATTAAAAGATTTAAGACACTTTGGTTATTGGATTTTAATTTCACTATTTCTTTAGATAGGAGAAAAGTCCACATGAGTATCTCTTGCTCTCCAAGTCATCAGGTCATTTCTAAGAATTAAAGACGTGATGTAACTTTAAGCTATTGGTTTTCATTTAGTATTATAACAACAGTTCAGTTAGTTTGCCTCCCTCCCCCACCTTCAGATGTTGAGTGACTTGACAAAGCGTAGACCTAGAATTGATGGAAAGAAGTCTGGGTGGTGGTTGTTTTTAACCCTTGTGTGCTATTCTTCAATGGCTGGAACAACATTTCTCCCATTGAGAGATGGGGTCTGTGTCCCTCCCCCTAAAATTAGGTAAGTTTTTGGAACTGGTTGACTAGGGCAGTAGAAAGGAGATAACACCGTCATGTGACTTCTAAAGTGGGTGATTCAGCATCTTTCTTACCAATTGGAACACTTGTGCTGGTCCTCTGGGCTGCCATATAAACAACTGAATTATTCTACTCCCACCGTGGTGTGCAGAAGCCCAGGTTAGCCCATAAGGAGAGGCCACATGGAGAATGTCTGAGGCTCCATAAAGAGAGAGGAGAGATGCCCGGCTAGATCCCACCCATACCTGTGTCCCTCGGCCCAGCTATACCTGCTCCTCCAGCTGTCTGCACAAGAGACCCAAGCCAGACCTGTGCAGCTGAACTCCCAAATTCCTGGCCCACAGAAATGTTGAAAAATTACAGACTGTTGTTGTTGTTGCTGCTTTAAGACTTTATTTATTTATTCATGAGAGACACAGAGAGAGAGGCAGAGACACAGGCAGAGGGAGAAGCAGGCCCCATGCAGGGAGCCCGACGTGGGACTTGATCCCGGGTCTCCAGGATCAGTTCTGGGCCAAAGGCAGGCGCTAAACTGCTGAGCCACCCAGGTGTCCCTGATTGTTGTTTTAAACCACAAAGTTTGGGGGTGACTTTTTATGAAGCAGTAGCTATCTGGAGTACGCTCTCTAAAAGTAAAACTGTCATAAACCAGAACTGATATTTTTGAAGTTATGGTGTTGCGTAAGTAGTGGAGAATGACTAGATGACTAGATGGTACACACAAGTGAATTAGTGGATAGGTGAGCAGTCTACACCTAAAAAGAGGTCTGCCTTTCGCGATCCTCTTTTTCTTCCGTACTGTCCCTTACTCTTGTGTTTCTCATTCATGGTTCTCAGTTTCTGGATGGACATTAGAATCACTTAAGAAAACAAAAAAAGAATCAACGACCAGGTCTAGATTTAATTGTCAGAGATGGGACCTAGGTGTAGGAATATTTTTAAAATTCACCAGGCAATCCCAGTTTGCAGCTAGGGCCAAGAATCGCTATTTGATGGCAAGACGGTGCCCAAATCTGTTTTTCCTGGCTCAGTTCTTCCTTGGAACTGCAGATTCAGAGATTGAGCTGCTTTCTGGGTATCTGCTTATGTAGAGAACTCACAAACCCCTCAAGTAGAGTGCTGCACCTGCCCCAGGGCTCCTTGTCTGTCAAATGACACCACTCTCCACATAAATGGTCTAGCCAGAAACCTGGGTCACCCATTGTCTTCTGTCTTCCTCATTCCTTGCAGCTACATAATACAAATTAGTCACTTCTTCTGACTAATTTGGGAGTCATTCTCTATAAACTGCCCAATCTTGGGCTATTTTCTGTCCACTGGACACTGCATCAGAATCCTGCCATCCACTTGACCTCCTCCCACTCACCCAAATGGAAACAACAGTGACCTTCTTGAATATGCAAATATCACTCTCCTCTTCTGAGTAAACCATTCAGTGGCTTGCCCTTAAAATGATGAAGCTTGCTCAAAATGAGAAGATGGCTTACAGAGCCCTACACATCTTTGCCCCATGCCTTTTCCATCCAGCTTCAGCTGAAATCCCCTTCCTTGTAACATGCAATGCTCCCATTGTCCGGAAGCTTTGAATGTGCTTCTAGTCACTCTCCGTTAATAGATGTTGTATGCTCCTCTTGGAACACTCCATTTCTCCCCGTCCCCGTCCCTCATGGCCTTAATCACCCTTCATCCTCAGTGCTCAGGTGGCGCCTCCCTGACTCTAGATGAGGATAGGCTTCCTTGTTACTGGCACCCAGAGCGTCTCTATGCCTTCTGTAGCATTCCTCAAGCATCCGCCTTCCTGCCTTCCTGCTCTGTGAACTCCAAAGCCGGTCAGGGAGTGTGTCCGTCACCACCTACAGTCCAGCCTTTAGCATAGTCTGTACATTGTGACTGAATGAATGAATGAATAAACAAATGAGCATGGGTTAAGAGGTGAACATCAGCTCGGAAGGAAGTTCTTGTAGTAATACTCTGGCCTCTGTACTTGGCTCTGACCCATCCAAGCTTCAAATCAATTGGGATAAGGTATAGAAGATATCAACTGATTTTAAAAGCGATACAAAGTTAAAAGGAATGGCTAATGCATTCTCTGGGTTTTTTTTTGGGGGGGGGGGGATGGCAAAAGCAAGGTTCCAGGGGTAACAGCTGGCTTGAGGGATGGGTCAGAATTTACAGATTGAAACTTAACAAAGATGAATGCAAAATCCTGCGCTTGCATTCTGGCTGCTGCACAAGGATAGGACAGGGGACACTTGGCGAAGAAACAGTCCACGGTGTGTTCATTGCAAAGGAAGCTCCGTTTCAGCCAGTAATTGATGTGACTTCTAAAAGTGCTAATGCCATCTTAGATTCCTTTAATGGACAAATGGAGCCCAACCAGGACAGCTGCAGGTCCCGCAGTCCTCTGCTCTGGTCCAGCCAGTCCTGGAGCAGTGTGCTTCACTTAGAACCACATTTCAGTCAGATGATGGACCACGGTGGTAAAAGCTTGGGAAGCACCACTGATTAAAAAAACAACAAAACAAAAACCCAAACTGCTGAAGAGAATACATAGAGAATACATTTACTCCATACAAGATGGCATTCTGGGGAACACTTTGGTCCCTCAGAAAAAGTGAAGGGCTGGCTGGAGGGAAAGGATTATATTTACACCCCAGAAGACTGGGACCAAGGATTGGCGTATCTAACATCGCATCTCTGGCCACATCCTTCTTATCATTGGCCTCTCTCATCCTCCATCCTCTCCCTCCCTTTGACATCTGCTCTGTGTTCTGGACAAGATCCCTCATCCCTCAGCTTCTCCCTTCTCTCACTCCATCACCCCCCTTCATAAACCACAGTAGCCTCCATCAGCTCCATTTATGATTCTCAGCCCCACTCTCCTGGAGTCCTAAGAACCACCGTGTTCCATAGGGTCTGTAACCTTGAATCATTCCTTTCCTCTGCTCCTGCTCCTGGCTTACTGAGAAGTGCTGTGAAGACCATGACAACTCTGTGTCCAGCACTTGTGGAGACCCTCACTCCTGTCTTCATTCTTCCATTCATTAAGGCCACTCCTCTCACCTTCCCTGAGGCAGCGCTAGGCCTGCTCCCAATATTTAAGCCCTGAAGCGAGCTGTAAAATTCACTCAGGAAATCATTTCCTTACATTCTCCTCTTCACAATCTCAAGTTTGTATTATACCCTCCTTCCTCTCCTTTATCAAAATTCTGAGAATGAGAGAGAAGACTGTCCCCTCCTTTCAAAAGCTTGCTTTCCCACATGGATTTTGATACCAGTTTTCTTTCATTTCCTCTGGGGCTTTGTTTCATAATTCATCTCCTGTCTTTCCTCTGCTCAAATTCTATCTCATTGCCTGCTCCTTCCCTCAGTCTGATAAATATACTCACCCATTTGGGGGAGGCTAATTGTACAGTGATTGTTTTAAGATGGTTTGGAGAGACATAAAAACCCAGCCAGAGAATTCCATCAGAAGGCTTTTTCCAGAGTCCAGGCGAAAAGCAAAGGGAGCATGTGAGGGGTAGTGAAAGGAAGCATAGAGAACATGTGAATCAGAGAGGATTTCATTGTCAGAATGACTTTTGTCTGGTTGTAATTTATGACTTTGCCTTATTTTCCCACTGTTTTGTCAGTTCCTGGGGGCAAAGATTGTGTCAGATTCATGTCACTTTACCTCACAAAATCTGGCTTGAATGAATAGTTGGAATTCCCTCAAAATACATGTGTGTGGTAGGGAATGCTGCCCTTTGAAAGGCATCTTCTTTTAAAAGATTTTATTTATTTATTCAAGAGAGAGAGCACAAAAGTTTGGGGAGCAGGGGCAGAGGGAGAAGCAGGCTCTCAGCTGAGCAGGGAGCCCACCACGGGGCTCCGTCCCAGGACCCCGAGATCATGACCTGAGCCCAAGGAGATGCCTAACCGACCGGAAGCATCATTCCTGGAGGGTAGACATTTTCTTAAAGAGGTTAGTTGGCAAGCCAGGGAAAGTCATCCCTGTATTAGGAAGAAGAAAGGAGCAAAACTTTGCTCCTCAATTGTGCTCCCCTGTATTAGTTTCCCTTCGTTGTAGCAAATCACCACAAATTTAGTAGCTTTAAACAACACAAATTGATTATCTTACATTTCTGAAAATCAGAAGTTCAGAGGGTTCTCACTGGGCTCAAATCAAGATGTCAGCAACAGCTGTGTTCCTCTCCAGAGGCTCTAGGTGCAGAATTTGTTTTCTTGCCTTTTCCAGCTTCTAGAAGCTGCTTGCACTCCGTGGTCATGCCCCCTTTCCTCTTCAGACTTAGCTGATCAGGTCTTTTTCACATTGCATCACCCTGACGTTGACTGTCTTCCTCCTCCTTCCACCTACAAGGACTCGGTAATTATATTGGGATCACTGAGATAATCCAGGATAATGTCCCCATTTCAAAGTCAGCTGCCTAACAACCTTAATTCTGTGCATCCTGAATTTGTCGGGTAACCTAACGTATTCACAGGTTCCAGGGGACCAGAGCATGTATGTCTTGGGGGTCCATAACCACGCTTACCACCTCCTTGGACAAGCAGCCTCTACATCACCCAGGAGCTTATTAGAAATGCAGAATTTTGGGCTCTGCCCCAAGCATCTGAATCAGATTCTGCATTCTGATCAGATTACTAGGTGATTTGAATACTTTAAAGTTTTGGAAGTCACAACTAGACTATCTCTAAGATCTTCTCTACTTTAAACTTCCCATGATTCTATGAAAATTGCATTTTTTCCCACCTTCAAATCTTCATTATTCCTTCTAATCCTGGTTTCCTGCCAAAAAAAAAAAAAAAAGTTAATTTTGATTTGTACCCCTGGTGTTAATTCCCAAAAAGTCAGCCAAGTAGAACATGACAACACCTCATGCATATTTTTTTGCTGGCAGAAAGTAGATGTTAGAAAAGGCAATTAAATTATAGAATTATCCATGATGCAGAGGTACTGGTCTACAAAGAGTATTTTCTTCCTCAGGATTCATAAGAGAAGGGCCTTCATTAGCGTGAAGATATTAGTGGTCCAGCAAGTGAAGCAAAACATACACAGATGAGCTGTTTTTAAGGCGTCTCTGAATGGCTCAGCATTTGAGAAATGTGACCAAAGCTGATTATAAAATTCCTTTCAAAGTTGCAGGAATGGCAAACTCATAAATAACTCTCGCCCTCACTGATGTAAAAAGGAGGTTGCTGGCTGTTTGATTGCTGTCCTTGTTGTAGGGGATACGATTAAGCTGCAAGATTGCAAGCTCCTCAAGGCCGAACCAGCCATGTACAATGCCTGGTACCTAGGAACTCCATCCATTGTGGGCTTGAATACTTTTTAATATTGTAATACTTTACACTGAATTTCAGAAATGCACCGGGAAAGAAGTGGATAAATAAAACTGGAATATTTCATTGGCCATCTTCCTAGACTTCCTACTCCCTTTGGTTCATTCACTTGTTCATTCATCTATTCAGCAAACATTTATGGATCATTTACTGAATGCCACCCATTGTTCTAGGCCCCCATCAATATAAAACTATGGTCTGTGTCACTCAGGAACTCATATCCCAGTGGAACAAATAGTCACATAAGTAATTATGCCAACACGAGTGCAGAAAGCAGTATGTGAACAAGGCTCATGGGCCTTTTCCATTCTGTTCCTTTCACATTCTAACTGGATTTATCTGGAAAATCCTCTATTTCTCCCCTTTGCCAATAGAATCAATTATTTGGCTTTATTATTTTTATCTTCAGCCCTCGCTGCTAGCGTTGCATCTAGGCACTTGCTGCTTATCGTGGAAAATGAAACCCTCTCAAACCAGTGCAAGTAAAAGAGGGGTTATTAGAAAGGTCCAGTAGGGTCTCGTGGGACTTCAAGGAAAGTGAGAGGAGCAGGAAAGGCAGGAAATGAGGCAGCTCCAGAACAGCCCCACTTCGTCTCCACTCTGTTCTCTCTCATGGTGTCAGATAGTCCAGAGTCCCAAAGGCTGACAATCCGATGAGCCCACTCTGTCTTTCCTGACAGGCCGCTCCCTGACCCCTGTGACCAGTGTCACTACATCTTGATTGTTTCCTTCATATCACTCACTTAGTGTGAGTTGCAGTTATATACAGTTTAAATTTACACATTCACGTCTTTTCCTGTGTACATTTGTTGTGATCATATCTGTTTCGTTACTGCTGTATCCGGCCACTAGTACGGTGCCTGACCATAGAAGGCATTTAGTGAGGGAGTAATGAAAGCCTTGAGTCTGCTCACCGTTCACTGAGGCTGTGCAGGAAGTTTCTTGAGAAGTACCAGCACCCTGGCCACATGTTCTTTCCATGTCAAAGACACTCGAGAGGGACCCTTCTCCTTTGTGGCCCAATGTAAATGCGCCAAGATGTCTCTTTTTGAAATTTATTGAGCAGCTAGTATATGCCAAATTCTATATCAAATACTTTACATGCATCATCTCCTTTCGTTTTTACTGAGACTCAAGCAGGTAGTATCCTCATTCTACAGCGACAAAACCAAGTTTTAACAGCTTAAGCAGTTCATCCAAGGTCCTAGGGCTTGCAGGTAGGGGGACCGAGGTTACAGCGTAGGTCAGTTTAAGAGCTGTGTCCTCTGTAAAGTATTCCCTCCAGGCAGGCCTTACTGCTGCTCTCTCTGTAGTACCACATACCTTGTTCATGAAGATGGCAGTTTCACGTGCAGATGGCTCTGGCTCCCCTGCTACACTACGCTGTCCCTCTTAGGGCAGGAACTGTATCCTGTTCCCCTTTGCATCCTCAGCACCTGTCACTTTGTGGGAGCTCAACCAGTCTCTGTCTGTGGGGCTGACCTTTGCAATGACAGGCAGTTACTATGCTATTTCATATTTTTTAAATCTCACAAAATACTATTAGTACCTAAAAGGAAGTAAAATTACCAAGTGTTGTGAATAATCCATCCCATCTCTGTTATTGAAATTTAGAGGACATACGCAGATCCTTCCCACCCCTGTAACGTTGAGGTCATATCACAGTCAACTGACCCCCACCCCCATGTTATTGTGGATGGTACATGCAGTGTGATGGGATGGCTCAGACCTGCTGGCAGGATCTTCCTTTGACTCAGAACAGCAGATGGATACAGCTATGACCTGGCATTCTCTCAAACAACCAATAGTTAAGTACCTACTACGGGCCCGTTGTTAGTCAGATGGGGTGGGCATGTTGAGCATGTGGAAAAGTCTGAGAGGAGAACTCTTGCCCTCATGTCGCTTACCATTGAATAAACACAGTGCGTACGCGCTTAGGATAGAGAGCAGAATGTGCTAAGTGTAAAGAGACACCTACTGATAAAGTCTGTGGGAATTGAAGGTGGGGGGGTGACTTCCAGCAGGGCCAGTAGAAAAGGACTTCGTGAAACACGTGGCATCTCAGCTGGACTCTAAGATTTGGACAAGCAGACACCTTTTCCTGTCAAGGGCAAAGCACAGAGGTGGGGGTGGGGCCTTTGGAAGGGCAGTTGAATGTGAGACCGTAGGGATGTAGCTTTATTCTTAAGAAAGGGAGGAAAACGCTCTAGGAAGTGCAGTCTGGGGTGGCCTCGGAGTGAATTTGCGGGAGATACTGGAAGCAGAGGGAGCAGTTATTCTACGTTTATTTGATAATACTGGGTCTCTCCTGATCACACAGCTGTGTAGGTGGATCGAAAACTTTGGTCAGAGAACCATTTTTTGAAACCCAGACATAGTCTGAGTGACTCATCAGTAAGCCAAGAAGACTTTCTAAGGAGTCATCACAGACAGGCTCAAAAAATGCACACTGTGAACGAGGAAACCTGCTAACAGCTCTTAAACCAGACAACTCAAGTCCAGGGGAGGTCAGGTCACGTGGGAAACTGCAACCAAACAGCGTCTGTGAACGCCAGGCCGCCTCGCTGCTCGGTGCGGGCGGGATGCCAGCAGGGCGGGCCTGAGGCCCATGCGGGCAAAGCCTGCTGAGCCAGATAGAAGGCCCCAAAGAGAGGAAGAAGGAAGGGGAGCTTAAAACTCAGAAGGTAAAATCAAAACAACTTCTGAGGCGCGAAAGGCAGATTTCGCAGTTGCAAACCGAATTTGCCAGGCCGGGTTTAACTTGGTAGAAGCCTAACGAGGGAAGTGTGATTTGAGAAAGCTGAAGCAGCTGCTGAAGGACCCGCCGGCTAAGCGGTCCCCACTGTCACCCAACAGTGCGCCCCTGAGGGGCCCGGCGAGGGCCCGAGAACCCAGAGGGTGTAGCCGCTGGGCTGCCAGCCAGACTCCATGGGTGCTGCCACTGCAGGCACCCGCTCGGGCCGCGGGCCAAGTGAAGGCCGCAGACCCAGTGAAGGCTGCAGACCCAGTGAAGGCCGCGGGCCAAGTCAAGGCCGCAGACCCAGTGAAGGCTGCGGGCTCTACCAAAGTCCCTGCAGGCCTGAAGTTTGCGAGCGACCCATCTGCGACCTACCATCAGTCACGCGTTGATTGTCCCTTCCTCCAGGAGCTTCAGTTCTTTACCTCCTCACTGTAACCCTGCCTGTGTCGCCCACTCCTTATTTTTAGGGTCACTTCATCATGAGGCCTTGCGAAGGTTTAAACGCTTAGACCCCTCATTATGACTCTACCGTGTCCTGAATCTAGTGACACCGCGAGGTTCCTGTATTTTTACGCGCACATCTGAGCACATAGGACTTCTCTGTCTTTCTCAAAGACGTTTTCATTGGAAAATAGATGGTAGCGAATTTATAAATAAGAAGGTGGAAAAACAATACTACGCTCTTCACATTAGCCAAGCCCTGTGATGAAAGCAAACGCAGAGCTTGGCCTGGAAATTCACTAGAATTCAATATTACTGTGGAATATCTAAGAATAGGCAGAAATTCTTTTTTCTTTTTTCTCATTTCTTTAAAACTTGACGTCCATGTCTTAAGTATCTTCCTCTGAGAATTGTATGCAATATTCATTGTTAGATTTGATATCAGAACTCAGTTATTGGCAATTTTCTTAGGATATGTTTGGAGCTAGTGTATATAAAATGACAAGGATGGATGTTTTCCATATCTGACTGTGGTTGTATTTTTTTTCCTTTTAAAGAGGAATAGGCAAGGGCTGTATAAATGTCTACAAGGGAAGTGTCTCCATAAGCTGTGGTTTATATATTATGTTTTACTTTAGCATAATAAAAAGTATGTTCTGCAGAGGAGAGATTGGAAGCAGGGCCAACACTTATTTTATGTTTATTCCATAATTCTGTGTCTTTACTGATCAAACAACTATGCAGGGAGATTGAAAACTTTGGTCTCATGTAATTTTGATGCAGTTAATATAATTAATTAATAATTATTGCATAATATAGAAGGGTATGGCTGATATAGTAATAATAATGTAATTATCAAGAAATTTTATGTAATACTAACCAACCATGACGGCTTGAAATATTAGAATTTTACTTAAAAGAACTACAGGGGCACCTGAGTGGCTCAGTCAGTTAAGCATCTGACTCTTAGATTCAGCTCGGGTCATGATGTCAGGGTCCTGAGATCAAGCCCCCTGTTGGGCTCCACACGCACTCAGCACAGGGTCTGCTTAAGATTCTCTCTTGCTCTGCCCCCCACCAAATAAATAAATCTTTAAAAAATAAATAAGTAGGGGTTCCTGGGTGGCTCAGTGGTTGAGCGCCTTCCTCTGGCTGAGGCCATGTCCCAGAATCCTAGGATGGAGTCCCGCATGGGGCTCCCTGTAGGGAATCTGTTTCTCCCTCTGCCTAAGTCTCTGCCTCTCTCCGTGCATGTCTCTCATGAATAAATAAATAAAATCTTTAAATACATAAATAAATAAAATGTTTCTTGTTCTATCTCTATCTCTGTTAATGTATAAGTGAAGATATCCTTCTAATGTAGTTCTTTTATTTATTTAAGAACCATAAAAGGTGAGAATAGAAAAAAAAAGGAATCTTGAGTCACATACATGTAAATATATATATTGCATTAAAGTCCTTGGTAAAACCCACATGTTTAGCATTTATGATTGTCAAGTTTCAGAACCAGCTTTCTCATCAATAGTGTCAAACTTCTATACGTTAAGTACTTACAGCTTATGCTGTTTCCTCGCGATAATCTAAATACTTTTGTTTAGTGATCTATGTGAAACAGGCCGCCTATTTTCTGACATGATTAGAAAATGGGCTATATTGCTTAACTAAATGTTCTGCTCATTAGAGTCACATTACACATATCTTACCCATGTAATCCATAGTCCATGAATCTGATCACAGTGAACTGTATATAACTCTAAAACTCAATTAGCTATAATTTAACCATGATTTCATGATCATCATTATGGATACCACTTACCTTTGCACATGCAGACTAGAATCTATCAGTAGCAGCTCCAGTAATCCCCATGATAGAAAGGTGGGTGAGCTAGGTTTTGCTCAGGTAAGTAGAGCATCCTGTAGTAATTCCAAGTTCTGCGGGATAGAGGTCAACTGATTCTGTTAGTAAAGAGTATGTGCTAAATTCGATTAAGAAATACTTATGGGTCATTAAAATTTTATTATAAACTTGACCTGTTGAAATCCTTAGCCCTTACTTTTACAATGTTTTAAATGTTTGATTTTTTTAGAAACACGTTTGGGAACATTCTATATTATGGCTAAGATTGCCATTTCAAAAGTGTAGTGCCCCACATTTTTATAACTCTATAAACATTAACGGAGTTTTACAACACACTGGTGTGAGCCTTGACATGACTGCTTCCACTGTGCAGATGAGAGAAGCTGAGGCATGAGGCTATTTTTGTAAATTTTCCAAAGATACCCCCTGAGCCAGTGGAGAGGAGAGCCTGAAACAGAAAACAATCTGTGTCTTCACTGAAAACACATCCTGTATGCATCTGTAGTCTTGGGGGTGGGTTGGGGGTGGTGGGGTAGATCACAAGACCAGAGTTGGCTTTTCACACTCACTAATACGGTTCCCACAAGGAGCTCTTTGTGAAAATGTGTACACAAATAAAAAGGGTATCGAGGTGATTACTAGGATGAATTTTTCCTCATCTGAAATGCTTGAGTCTGCTTAATGGCAAGAAGATAGATGAGTTGGCTTTTTAAGGCCTTTCTAACAATTATACTTCTATCCAGTGAGAGATTCATGGGTGAACAGTATTTAAAGTGTTTACCTTTCTTTTTCTTTTCTTTCTCTTCATAGATCTATGCAGTTCGATCAGTTGTTCCCAACAAAAGCAATAATGAAATTGTCTTGGTGCTACAACAATTTGATTTTAATGTAGATAAAGCAGTGCAGGCCTTCGTGGATGGTAAGTATACATGACCCCTGAACCTGTTAGAACTAAATATTTTATACGTTCTGGATTTTTTTCCTTCAATGCATTGAATATCAGTTAGTTACTAATAATTTAATTCTCATAAAAATATGCTAAGCTTTAACAACACCTTTATAAGCTCAATAGAGCAGAATTTGGGGTTTCTTTTTCTCCCATTAAAAAAAGAAAAAAAAAGATTGTAGCTAGTTTCCAAGGGATACCTATTATAATGACACTAATTCTGTTGTCCACCAGTCTTTCCAATGTGTTATAAACATGTCCTTTACTTGATGGTGTCCTTGTGCATGGAGAGTAGTGCACTTCCTTCCTGATGAACTCTTCAGCCAGCGTAGTTCTCCTTGGCCTTACTGACTGCCATCCTTGAACTCGATGCTTACATAGTCTGAAAGGACTGGTTTATTCTTTAATACCCTGAGTTTTTTATTTTGAGATTGCCTAATTAATCAGAATATCAATTTATCTCCTCTACCTTTAGAAACTTTTTGCTGCCTAAAAAACAATTTTCTTTAGACAGCCCATTGCCGGTGATGTTATAGAATCTGAAGTCTCAGGAATAGGTTTGTCTTATAAATTTATAACCTACTCCCTTATATTTTCTACAAATTACGGGAAAATTATTCTCCTCTCCTATTTGAACGAGCTCCATTTATGCACAGAGATCTCGTACTTGTCCTTAGTTACCATATGTCTTCTGTGCTGGTAATAGTTTCTATGTTTTAAATATGGACCAGCGAGACATAATCTGTGTCAGGGAAGACCTGTCACACATTTCTCAGCTATATCCTATTTGTACTTTATTTGTTAAGGATGGTTTGATTTACTTACTTTTCCTAGGACTAGAATAATTTTCCCAAGGTTCTTACAAGTATAGTTGCAATTCAGGCAAAAGTCTTGAAACCAGGCAACATTTTCACATTCTGATATCCACAATCAAGGTTTAGAGTCCTGATTGAATTTAAAAATGATTGCCATCCAAAAATAGACTTGCAGGCAGACCTAGATTGAGTAACTTTTCTGGTTTTTTTTCTACCTCATGTACTAGCAGATATAGAATTTTGAGTTGGAAGGAACAAATAGTAGAGAATCTGATATTAATCTGATTTGTGGCATTTGGTGCGATTCGTCCCAAGAAAAAATTTTTGGAAATCTGCACATCAATTCACTTGCCAACATCACTTGCATGGAAAAAAGCTTTAGGAAAGGAAAAAAGTTATTATCCCCATTCCTCCCCCACTCTTACTGGGATTAAAGCCCCCACATTCCCTGTCATGAAAGTTTTTTTACAAAGCGACCCTGATGAAATGCACAGATGCCCAGGAACTGAAAGGCTGTCATCAAATCCATTGGTACTTCAGTAAAGCACCTTTTGCTTGTCCTTGAAATTGTCACCTTGTCAGTATTGAGATCTGGTTAGAGAAACTCATTGATTTGCTGAGAAACCTCATATGACCTTTGGTTGGGGACCAATTGGAAAACTTGTTTAAAAACCACTGAGATTCAAAAATATTTGTTAGGAATCACTTACGAGACATAGTAAAAGCACTATTTCCAAGTGGCTTCAAAAGCTTCAAGCAGTTTCAGTGTAATTAAAATTTAATAATAACAGTTTCAGAATTCCCTGTGAACATGAGTATGTCTTCTTCAGAATTACTCTCTTAAAGCTCATTGTCCAAATTGCAAATAGAATTTATGTCAAAATATGAAAATTAGAGGAATAATTGAATATTGCACTTAAAGCAGTAAGCAACTCACCTCCTTTCTCTGATTAAAAAGAGCAGTACTTAACACTTTTTTTTAAATTTAATTTTATTTGGAAAACTGAAGTTTAGCTGTAAGAAGAACTACCCTAATGATTATTAGCCTGGATTGACTAACTGGGAAGTCTAATAAAAGTGACTTCTTAAGGTTCTTCAAAAGGAAAATATGGTGAAACACTCATTCTCTGGGCAAATGAGAGAGGGACCCGCTCAGTCAATAAAAAGTTTGAATCATAGCTTACTTTTAAGTGCAGTCTTATAATTTCAAGTACATGTAACTCTGAAAGCCTAAGAGGGGCATTGAATTGGAAACTTTGAATAGATGGGAATAATTAGCCTGTCTAAATGGCCTTCTGCTTATCTAACAGTGACAGTGGACCCAATAATTGGGACCCTACTAATTTGAAATTTGTTATAAAGACCAGCCTGAAGTTTATCTTTGTTTAGCCAACACACTCATCGTAGAGAACTGTTAGTATAATGAGATTGTATGAGAAGGCCTAAAATTGTTAAAAGAATACATTTAAGAGCTACTCTTTTAGCAGTACTACTATTTATATGAAAACAGCCGATGTACTTACTACCAATAACTTATTGTTGAAATTACCAGCACCACCACCACCACCCTGCTCCACCCGGTTGGAATGAGCAGAGAACTTTGTTAGACCATGTGGAAAGTTATCATAGCCGATCAGCAGTAAACATGTCTTTTAAACTATTTTACTGCTTAATCAGGTTAGGCTTTTCCTCTCTGAGTCTGTGCATTGCCACATATGTACGTGAACAGCACTGAGAAAACCTGGGATCAACTTGTCATGTGAGGAACTTCCTTTGTTTGAAAGTGGAAACCTTCCGAAGAGCACATCCCATCCCCACGCACGGTAACTAGAGCAAAACCAACATCAGATAATCTGTCCTCCTTATCACCCCGAAAGTTGTGAACATAGTGAGTGGAGGCAGAAAAAGAGCAGGAATGGCCAAACAAAAAGCTTTGATTCACTTGGTTAATAATATTCAAAATCCCATGTTTGGTCTGGAAGATTACAGGTATTTTGATTCATATATCAAATAGAACAATTTTAATTCCACCTATGGCAACAAAGCTAACAGAACATTCTCAAGATATATTTCATTTTTTCTAAGACAACATAATGATAAAAAGGTAAGCTTCATGTAGTGGGGCTTAATACTTTGATAAAACCAAGATCATGCAGTGAATTAAATGAAAATCTGGAAATAAAAAATGAAACTGGCATTTTTATTAAGGTAGGATGTCTCAAAACAAATGAAAAAGCAAAAAAAAAAAAAAAAAAAAAAAAAGACTTGCTACCAGGATCTAAAGACAGATGAATTTTGTGTGGTGTTTTATTACGTGAATACGTGTTGAAGACTCTTTGTCTTTGTCTAGGCAGTGCAGTCCAAGTTCTAAAAGAATGGAATATGACGGGAAAAAAGAAGGTAAGTTTAATATTGATTGTAAATTAATAACATCTCCAGTCAAAACTTTCATGGTTGTTACCACTTAAATAAGGTTACCCATTTTACACTTCTTTTCAAACATGTTGATATGTATACGCAGAGAGCTTGCAAATTCAAGCCTCTCTTCACTTACCAGCACCCTCACTACTAATAATGCCCTTGTTTTCCTTTCGAGTGTTTTGAACCACCAGGTGTGCTTTAGAAGTCCCAGAGTTTTCCTTTTTAAGTATTAAGGGGAGCCCAGCCGGTGAATTCAAAGGATTCAAGACGTTAACTTGCCTGAACATATTCCATAGCACAAAAGAAAAAATTAGGGAGTGTTTTAAAGATACTTGAAAAGCTCTAAATATATTTTCACATGTTTTTCCAACTGAAAGAATCTGTCCAAGGCTGCCCTTTTCTTTTTTTTTTTTTTTCTTTTTTTTTTTTTTTGCCAAGCTCTAAACTCAAGCTTTAACCAAAGGGAAAGAAAAGAAAATACTTTAAAGTCATAGGAAGTTAGGGACCTGTTTTTCCTTCTTGACAACCCTGGCAAACTGCTCTTTGAGAACAGAGAGGAGGAGATTTTACTCTGCCCTATTCGAATCATTTTGCTTTCTTGGCTAGTCACAGAGTCTGCGTTGCGGGCACATGGGGAGTGTGCCTGGGTGCACACCGGCCCTCTGTGTCCTGCGTAGAGGCCTGCCTCCTGTCGTGAGCACATGTAGAGCTCACTGGCTCCTACAGGGCGCGCCACTCTTGTTCCTGGCCCGCAAGCTGTTTTATGACTTTCACAAGATTCTGATTCTCTTTTCAAAGTCACTGCTCCACCCATTCCCATTATTCCCCAGCCAGGCCTGGTGTTTTGGGTATCCCACAGTATAATAGGACCAGTCTAT